TAAGTAACTAAGGTGATTTGACTTTGGGTGCCGGAAGGCATGCTTATTACTGTTGTAATTTAAGAAAAGGGAAAGATGCTTTATTAGATAATGGCTTTTACTTCTGACTTTTTATATAGATTTAAACACATCTAAGTATTTTTCAGTTCTATAAGACTCAAGTATTTAATTTGTAATCTTCTCAAGTTTCACATGCAGGAAATCATGTAAACTAAATGAATAAGCCACCAAGTGTTTGGCACCCTAAAGTACTTTCGCAACTCTTGAAGTTTATAAATATAAAATTTCTTCTGCTCTTGAAGACCTAACAATCTAGTTTGGAAAATAACAACATATGGAATAATTGGAGAATAACACAGGGCTGGAAAACTTTTTTTTTTTGAGAGAGAGAGTCTCACTCTGCTGCCCAGGCTAGAGTGCCATGGTGTCAGCCTAGCTCACAGCAACCTCAAACTCCTGGGTTCAAGCGATCCTTCTGCCTTAGCCTCCCGAGTAGCGGGGACTGCAGGCATGCGCCACCATGCCCGGCTAATATAGATTTTTAGTTGACTGATGAATTTCTTTCTATTTTTAGTAGAGACAGGGGTCTCACTCTTGCTCAGGCTGGTCTCGAACTCCTGACCTCGAGCAATCCTCCCACCTCGGCCTCCGTAGAGTGCTAGGATTACAGGTGTGAGCCACTGTGCCGGGCCCCAGCCAGAGTCTGGGGTAGGGTCTGAGAATTTGCATTTTGAATTAAGTTCTCAGATGATCCTGATACTGCTGTCCAGGGACAACTTTGAGTATAATCCCTTTGAACTATTAATATATATTAAGCCTTGATTTACCCTCCGTAAATTCTTTACGTGCTGTAGAGCTTTCATGATTTTATCTCTTTTTATTTTTTCTTACAAGGAAAGCGGAAACAAAATTTCAATAAAGCAATCTAATAGCTGAACGACACTCCGAAGGGAGGAGGAAAAGATACCTCTCTCAGTCACTCAAAGACCATGTTAATAGCTCCACTGAGACTTGACATTACAACAGCTGGCCCCCTAGCCTAATGCACTTTTCTAAC